GGTGGATAACTGCCCATCTCTACCACTGTCTTTCATATTGCAAAGAATATAATAAGATTCTATGACTGAAATTTCCATGAAGGCTACTGTGGGGTTACAGAGGAGAAACTAAGAGTACCCCAGCTGGAGAGATATGGGAGACATTTAGGAAGAGATGGAAATCAAACATGGTTTTGTATTAGTAGGCAGGTATGCACAGAGGATCCAAAAGAGCATTCTGAAAACAGGCATGAAGTTGGGGATGTGAAGCAGAGACTTTTTACAAATTAAGAAATAATCCTATTGTCTAGAGGATATGTGATTTGATACAGAGCAAATCTTGGAGACCTTAAAATACCAAGTTATGGTATTTGGAACTTTTGCACAAGCACCAACATATGGTAGAACTTCTTTGGATGGAGAATGACATGATCCAGACCAAGAATTTTCACCTGATGTTCTGAGGAGCCTGAGGTTTTTGAAGATGGGCTTCTGGGACCAGGAGAAGAGAGCACTTGGGTCTTGAACTTACAATTCTTTCATTTGCTGATATATCAGGGATGAACTGTGGGCAGTGGTTCATTGATAAAAGGGTTCTGTTGTCAAAGAAAAAGCAACTGAAAACTCATGAAAACTCTTGCTTTAAGCTGAATATTAGGAAAAGTTATATAATGGTATTGGACCAAAATCAATATGATAGGAAGTATATATGAACACAATTGTATGTGTGTAGGTGTGTGGGATTTTTTTTTAGTGTGTGTATGTGTGTGTGTGATTGTGCATATGAAAAAGTATGCTGTGGTTTAAATGCGAAATGCTTACCTAGGCTAAAGGTTTTCCAAATTAAAAGTATTTTGTAGATAAGTGACATGTTCTTGCAGTCTATTTAGTTCGTATCTTTTGACTACAAGAAATGGGAACATGTTACTCTTCCCAATAAACTCCAGTAATAATTAACATCTCATGACGAGATATGTAGCCGTTCTTGGCCGTAGTATTCTCTCTAATACACGAGTAAACAAGGTTGTAAAGTATGGAGCAGGCCTCTTCTCAGCACTGTGGATGCATAGATTCTTGGCTTCCTATGGAATCATCAAAAGCTAACATTTACAGAATGGTTTAGAAATTACCTAAGAGCTTTGTAAGCTTCATAGGCTTTATCTCATTTAATCCTCTTTAAAGGGATTAGATACTGCTTGGCCTTATTTTAAGGATATGAGTGTAAATGCCTTGCCTATATTCCCACAGCTAGTAAGCAGGGAGCTGGAGTCTGTCCTGATGCACTGTTCTTTGACTGCTCTTGACCTGTAGGCACGTTTCCTACCCTTTTTAAAAAATAAATATACTGCCTCCAATGACTTGAGACTCTCATGACATCAGCCTGGAAATAACAATGCTTCATAATTTACTGGTGGTGTTCTCAAGCTTAGTTATCTTATTTGAAATTCACGACTACCCTGTGAGGTAGGACCAATCATTTTATAAATAAAAAAAGTAAATCAAAAGGAACTCAGTGACTGACCAAGTACACATAGATTGTTATTAGCTACTAGAACCAGAACGCTCATCTCTAGATGTGCCTTTAAATTTTGCTCCATAAATTTATATAGAATCAATAAATACTTGTTAAAGGTACAGTGAATGAATTAAGTAGGAACAATTTCTAAGCAAACTGTAATTTTCAGTTGAGGAACTGAGGGATGTAATCATCCCGGTTGATTTTATAATATCACAGTTTTTTTTAGCAGAAACTGTTTACAGTGATTGGGGTGTAACTACTGTAGATCAACTCTTAGATAATATGGGAAAGGGTCCCACCTCTCAGATTGTGATTGCTATTAGTTTCAAGTAAAAAGGTGTTGTCTTCACACAAGACAACTTAGTGCAACCACATTTAAGTGGTTTTTAATGCTAAAGACACATTTATGACCACTTGGGGGCTGAATCATGAGGAGAAATTACTCAGTATTACAGCAGATGTCATCATTTATTCTCCCACTTGAGGTGATGAGTCATAAATTGGACTAGAATTGAAGACTAAGGCAGAGTGTATGTGTGAGACTTCATACAAGTCATAAATTCAGAAGAATGCCAACCAGACTGCCTAACAGACTTGTTATAATTGAACTTAGTGGGTCCAACACATAGAGCATAACCAATGACCCTCTGTTCTTCTTCCTTAAAATTATATGCCATATATATAATATATAATATATATAACATATATTATATATAGTACATATATACACATATATAATGTATATATATTCTGGGAATTTCAATATGGAAATTTAGAATGAAAAAATCGGCAGCAACAAACTGAATATTATTAATTCTGGAGAAGAAGCCTGCATTGACACAATTCTTTGGACTATTTTGGGGTATAAACTTTGCCCCTACCAGAGTAGTGTAACATATACAGTTTGCCTAAATAAATTGGGAGATTCCTTGGATGACTGCAGTGTAACACGATTACGTCCCTGGAGCATGAGCATGCTTAAGTTACAATTAGAGGCCATGCAAATGGGGGATGTGGCAAACATTTCATGTGTCGCTTACAAAGGTAAGGGGAAGAAGAAATCAAATTTCACGATGGGGCTCAACTACTGGAAAAATCCTGTTAACATGTGTGAAGTAGTTATTGAATTCAGACAAACAATTATCCAAGCTTATACAGGTATTGTGAAAGGCCATTGAAATAAACAGGCTGAAGCCATGGGTGATGGGGAGGAGAATGCATTTGGTACAAGAACATCACCTGTTAACCTGTTAGAGGGCTTGGGTGGGAAATAGCAAACCTGTAGGAGGCCTGAAATTAGCACAACAAAGGGAAAATGTATACAACACCATTGTTGGCCATGCTCTGGACAATGATCCACTTCAAGGAGTATATAAGACCTTAGTACAACTTCCCCAACCAGGGGTTTCAGAACTGTACAACCTAAGCTCAAAATTTCCCTGAGGCAATGTATCATATCAGAGCACCTGTCTAGAAGCCAAAGATCATAAGTGTTACTGCTGATTCCTAACATAGATTTAAATATCTGCTTAATGAACTCTACTGGAGTTTTTGCCCCCTTCACTGAGTCCATGGATGCTGCGCTGCCATCTACTCTTCTTATATAAGCAATGTCAATTTCCCATTAGCAAACATGCCTGGGAGAGAGGTTAACTGGAGATATGGAGACAGTTTGGAAAGGTTATTACTTGGCGGTCATTTAAACCTTTTTAAACATATGGCTATGGTATGAATATGTCTCCAAAATTTGTGTGTTGAAAGCTTAATCCCCAATGCAGCAGTGTTGAGGGTGGGATTTTAAGAGGTTGCAGAGCCCCTGTGAATGGATTAATATCAAGATAGTGGAAGAAGCTTCCTTATTGTGACAGTGGGTATGTTATAAAGTCAAGTTTGGCTTCCTCTTGCTGTGTCAGACTCTCACCTTCTCTTACTTTCTAACCTTCTGCCACTGGACCATGAGTCAAAAGTCCCTCAGATATGGGTGTCATGCTGTTGAACTTCCCAGCCTCCAGGAAGGTGAGTGGTAGATTTTATTTCTTTATAACTTCCCCAGTCTGAGGTGTCAGGAGCACTCACAGGACTAGGATACCTTTATTTAGAAAGAACACAGGGTGCAGTCCCCATGAAGGCATAAACTAAGTGCCTGTCTGCTGTGGTCACACCCAGTGGTTCCCCAATGGGGTAGAGCTCTTTAGCTCTTAAAAAACCTCCATAGTCTAGCCAGCCCAATGGCAACTCTGCAGCTACAGCCCATACTCCTCAAGGGTGGTAAGAACACTTGTCATGGCCTCTGAAGAGTCTTACTTTCCCTCTTCCAGAGAGTTTATGAAAGTCTCATAAACTCAGCAGTTTTCCTGAGAGGGTCTCTGATGAATCTAAAAATTCCTTTCTAGTACATTATTTAGCTAGGGATAGTTTAGTGTCCTTCATAGTAAAAAAGTAAATTCCCAGTTGACTTTCTTCAAAGGGCTTTGCCTACAAGTTCTCTTATATAACTGAAGTTTTAAAATTTACTTCACACATTCTCACTTGCTCCACAGATATTCAGGGTTTGGTCCCAGTTTACACATGTGAAGAATGAGGCTCAGAGATGTGGAGACTCCCAGGTATGTTGGGAAGAGAAATGGGAAGCCTGCTGTGACCCTTTTGACCACTAGGGGTCGTCTTGTACATCTGACGAAATACTTTGTTCAATCTGCAAACATTGAAGACACATTCAGAGACCAGAGCAAACTGACAAATGAGTGTTTCTGGCAGAAAGGGATGAGATGTGGATGTATTTTGGGACCTTTTGTGTTCTTTTTTTTTTCCCCTTTATTTTTATTTATTTATTTTTATATAGTCTGGGGATTGAACCTAGTGCCTCACACATGCTAGGCAAGCACTGTATCACTGAGCTACAGACCCCAGCTCCCCTTTTGTGTTCTTGAAGCAAAAACAAGCAAGAAAAGATGTAGAAATCCACATTTAAACTTGGAAAAGGCTGAAGCTTTTAAAGTGATTTTCATCGTTAGGGTGTGTTCTGAGATGGCATAGCTTAGAGGAGACAGAAGGGGCCTGTACTGTGTGCTTCCAGTTTTGAGTGGATATAGAGTATGGGGAAACATTGGTGAGGAATGAGGCCCCAGGGAACTCTACAAAAATTAAAGAATGAGACTGAAGATAGCTATGAGTAGCAAGGACTTGTTGGAAAGACAAACTGCTGTAGAGTGCAACTGAACAGAGTCCTAGTTTCCAGGCCCCTCTGGTCTGAGTGAGAAGTCCTGGAAGGAGGCTTTGGTATCTCATTCCTGGTGTACCTAGCTGATTGCCTTTTCCAAAGCTAGAGTACAGTCCCCAAACAAAGGTTCAGTGCATGGTGAGAAAGGAAGATAAAATTTCCCAAGAGAACCCCACTGGGAAACTACAGGAGGAGTAAGAGCCCTCAGGGATCCCCGGGCATTTCACTCTATATTATTAAAAAAAAAAAATCTCTTAGATAAGGTGTGAGCTTCAACAATCCTTTGAGTCTTGAAAATCTTTTCATTGCAAATACACCAGACAGGTGTTGTGTTACAATAGCCATATGCCTGGATTTTCTGAGACAGTCCCTTGTTTCAAGTCTTCTGTCTTGAAGTCTTCTGTCCTTGATTCAATCAAATCTTCCAGTAACGCCGTTATGTGATTGATGGTCTAAAAATAAGTAATATTTCTAGAATCCTCATTTACTCTTCACCAGGTGTGCTACCAGGGACTAAGGACACAGAGCAGAGTTTTGGATGCCCCTGAGCATAATATGGGGAGATCAGGCAGGCCTGGAGACAAACAATTACAAAAAAGTGTGGTGGGCGTAGGATTGTGGGGTGCACCCAGTCTCTGACGGAACAAAGGGGGACTGCCTAATAGAGCCCATAGTCTGGAAATATTTTCCAGAGCAAGAAACACCTATCTTGAGCCCTTCAGGGGGAGTAAACCCACTGCCCAGGTAAAGGAAGATCATCCAGGAGCCCTGGACAGAGCAAAGGCAGGGGTATGGGCAAAGTCTGACATTAGAGATCAGAGTGTTCTTGGGGGCTATCAGTGAAGTTCTGTTCAATTTAGGAAACAAACAAAATGCTGGTATATGGTAAGAGACTTGTATGGATGGGGAGTTTGAAGTCTGACAAGAAGGGCGATAAAGTTAAGAATGTTTATGCTTAGATTGATGAGAAGCAGGGAAGTGTTTTAAGCAAGAGTATAAAATGCTCAATTTCATATTTCACCAAATCTTTGTGGCCAAGTGTGGATGTTGGGGGCAAGTGAGATGGGAGGCCAAGAGTTTCTCTAGGAGACTAAGACAGGTGAGAAGGGAAGGGACCTAGATCTAAAGTGTTAGTGCCTGCGATGGAAAGGAAGAGCTGAACAGTAGGACTCAGTCCATCCTTCTTTGCCTTGTCCCCTTCCCTGTGCTTTCCTTGTCCATTCAATCCTGGATCATGCTGAGACAGGGAGCATGAGAAGAAGGGCAGCTGGGGAGGGCAGGCATTGTTTCCTTCACTCTGGGTCACATTTCTGCCAATTCCTTGCAAATCAGTATAGCACCGGTGAAATGCCAGCCTTCCTGTGGCAGCCCAGGAGATTGGCAACAGGGGGTCTGCAGTTCACCTGTCAGCAAGAAGACGACAAAATCCAAATGTTTACCTAACAAGGATTACACTGAGTGAGAGCATAAACAACCTCGTTTTTACAAGGAGTACAATGTAGAACTACCTAAAGGAGGAGCAAGTTTTACCCCAAAGTTTTTCTGGGGAATAACAGCAGGCTACACAGCTGTAAGCAGGAGAATATTACTTCAATAAGGGAACCCTTTGGCATGAAGGGATAGTCTTGGATTGGAGTGCTGGAAATAATCTCTGGACATTGTATATGTTGAGAAATAAGGTATTTGTATGGTACCCATAAATCATGAGAAGCCTTGGAGCTGGTACTTATCAGGTCCTAATAGCTGATGGAAAGCAGTAACTCACATCATTGGACAGGAGAGAGGAGGACCCCAGAACCCTATATAAGCCCATCTTCCTCTTTGAAACCTTCCTGATACTCCCAGGGGCAGTGTTAGTCACCCAGAGAACATAGATGTCCTTTCACTGTGTCACACATCTTACCATATGTATGGATCACAATCAAGTCTCTTTCCTCCCCAGGATTGTGAACTTCTCTGAGACAGGGGCTAATTCTTGTTCATCTGTGCCTACCCAGTGCCACCTACTGTCCTGGAGGAGTTTAGTAAATGTATTAAATAAATAAAGGGCACATCGTGAGGTGCAAAGAGAGAGCTGACAAGTAAATTGACTGTGGTATGTATTTTTATGGGCTGTGAAGAAAAGGAAACATTTGCAGTGCTCATCTTCCCTTTACTTTTCCAACTCCTCTGCCTTGACCACAAAGCATGTTTGCCTACGTTAGTTCATTTAATCCTCCTATAACTCTTGTGTCTAGGGAGGCACATCAATTGCCTTATTATATAGATCATAAAACTGAAGGCCAGAGAGTTCAAGTGTTCACAGAACAGCAGATGACATAGGGAGCAGGAGGCAGGGAGGCAGAGTGTGACACATGGTGGTTCCTTCCTTCTATCTCTCCCTACCTCCCCACACCTGCCTGCCTATCAGCCTTCCTTCCTTCCTCCATCAACCCTGGAGTTGAATCCTGTCCCAGCTTTCGGTATCCTTATGTGATTGCAAGTGATCCTTCTGCTCCTCTCTAACCTCACTTTCCTTATCTGGATTGGGGATAACTATTATAGAGGCTTTCTTTGGAAATAATGTAATTATAATAGACGATCAGTAACAGGTACTAGTTATCATTTTCCTGACCCTTTTTTGTCCCCTCAATAAATGTTCTATGTTAGGTCAGTTTTAGATTTACAGGAAAAACCATGACAATAGTAAAGAGAATTCTCAGATACCCCAATCTTATCTAGTACTATTTTTTAAATTATTGGTTCTTTATAGATATATGTGACATTAGAGTGCATTTTGACATATTAAACCTAGATGGAATATAACCTATTCTAATTAGGATCCCATTCTTACAGTTACACGTGATGTGGAGTTTCACTGGTTCTGTATTCATATATGAACATAGGAAAGTTATGTCTGATTCATTCTACTGTCTTTCCTATTTCCATCTCCCTTCTCTTCCCTTCATTCCCCTTTGTCTAATCCAAGGAGCTTCTATTCTTCCCTTCCCCTCTCTTACTATTTTAAGTGCTTCACATGCATTTTATTTAATAAGACTTATGATAATCTGGTGATGAATCAAACTCATTTTACAGACAAAGACATTTAACTGAGAGGCAAGTGACATATGTCCTGCTGAATGACTGTGGAGTGGTAGAATCAGAATAAAGAGGGGACTCTGATTGCAGGACTGCATCCTAACTACTCCACTTCATGGGAGGTGAGAGTATAGGCCCATGGCGAGTATATTATTAGACCTAGAGCCTGAGTCTGTTTAAATCAAGTCTTGCTGTTTTTCCACATCAATGATCTTCTAGGCACAAATATTAAGATTGCTCCTTGCCCATCCTACCTACCTTTTCTTTTTAAATTTAAAATTGCCTTTGTATTTATTTAATGTTGACTTCCAAATGCAAATTTGGGAAACAGTAGAACTTACTACGGATTTTGTTAGCATCCCTCTGGGGAGAAACAGCCTATAAATCACCAAATTTTATTGTTTCCCTTAGGAATCTTTAGTGTACATTGGATCTAGAGAATGACTTGATGAAAGAAGTCTATTTAAAATGTAGTGAGGTCAAGTCTATTAACTAATGTGTCCACAGTAAGTATCCTCTCTTTTCCAATAAAAAGGGTAGCATAGGGCATAAGAGTCACTAGCAGATTCTTAGGAGGGCAGTAGGGAGACTGGGACTTCATTTTCCTGAGGATTGGAAAGAGGAGAAGAGAAGCCATGTAAAATACAGCCTTGAAATCAGTGGGGGAGAGATGATTATTTCTGGTATAGAAAATTCTTTTCAGGGAGGTCTTTTAGATGTGAGAGGTAATAGCTGTTTTATTTCAGGAAAGGGTAAGGAAAAGAAAATTTTGATATGTTAAACATTTTGATGACTCTCTTCTTTTACTGATGTGAGAATTCAAAGGGAAAAACCTGAATTACTTTCAAATGACTTGTCTCTTAAAGTGTGCTTTATAATACATCATGCTACTCAGAGATACTGTAAAATATCCTTTTCTTTTTATTTTATGGAACTTTTACAGGAACTGTTGTCCTAAGTGGACTCATCCTACCCAGTTTTTGTTATTCTAACTAGAGATTCTTTAGCTGGGTCTTTGGAATGCTAATAAAGAATGAATAAATAAAAACTAAATTCTTTATGCATTGAGAGTTAATTTTAGAGTTAATTTAGTATAAATACATAAACCCATTATGAATATAAGCAAGGTGTTTCTGCTATTGATTTCCAGATTCTTCTTCCCGTAGGATGGATGAGAAACTATTTTGCCCTCATCTACTCTGAAATTTTTTCCTGCTTGCTTCATATCAGTTCTCATGGCTCATTGCTTTGTGCTCTGTCCTGTTCCTATTTGCTATTTGAATGTTTGTGACCCACTAAAATTCATTATTTTTGAAGCTTCTGCCTCCATTGTGATGGTATTTTGAGGTAGAGTCTTTGGGAAAAAAACTAAATTTATATTAGCTCACGAGTTTGGGGGCTCCATGATGGGATTAGTGCCCTTATAAAAAGAGAAAGTCCAGAGGTCTCCCTCTCTCCCCCGTATGAGGATACAGTGAGAAAATGGTTCTCGGAAATCAAGGAAGGGAGCCATCACCAGGAACCAAACCTGCTAGCACCTTGATCTTAGATTTCTAGCCCACCCAGCTGTGAGAAATCTATTGTATATTGTTAGAGCAGCCTGAGGAGAGTAGGGTCCTAATTCAACAAGTCTGTGCCTGGATAATGGCTTTTTGAATCAAGGATATTATTTTCATTGCCTGCTTATGACATCCCAAAGTTAATTTTCAGTAAGGTTGAATCTCATTGAAATTGTCAACCTGAGAAAATGTTGCTTTCCTCCTGTGTGATTCAATCCACCTGGCATGAATCACCCTTCACATTCTAACTCTGGTGGCCTTTGTCCTGCAGTCCATGGTTATACTGTCTTTTATACTGTGGCTGTTATAAAGGGAAAGTAGAGCTATTTTGTTCCTTTTAATGAGGAACAACTACTTCTCCAACGGACTCAGCAATAAAACTGGCTTTTAATGCTGGACGGAAATATGGAAGCCATGAAACTTCCTTTGTAACACCATTAAATATTATCAGTGTGATTTGGATAAAGTGCCACCAACCACTTCATGTCCAATGTCCTTTCATACACACACGTACACACACACATCATTAGAAAAATTAGGGGAAAAGGGTTTTTTAAAAAAAATTTTCCTACTTATGTTCAGTGCTGAACTGGGCCTTTTCCTGATACCTGAAGAGAATGGGATAATTCTCAAAGTTGAAGATAGTATGTGATAACTACCTCAAGTTTTAAAGACAATATCAATAATGTTCGGCATGTTCTCTTCAGGCTGCCTCATCACCTAGTGCTCTATCTCTCAGATTATTTTAACTGAGGATTAAAATTAGAAGAAAGTTCATGGAGGAAGAGAACTTTCCCTTGGATGGTAGAAAGAGTTGATTATTTTCCTTTCTAGTTGGAGGTGGTAAAGGGATGCTTTTTCCTAGTCCCAAACTAGGTCAAAGTATGGTGTTTTAGTCAGCTTTTCATCATTGTGACAAAAAATACCTGACATAACCAACTTGAAAGAGAAAAGGTTCGTTTTGGCTTATGACTTCAGAGTGTCAGTCCATAGTCAGGGAGCTCCATTGCTCTGGGTCTTGAGATGAAGCAGAACAGCATGGCAGAAGAGCATGGCAGAGGAAAGCTTCACAGCTCATAGCGGCCAGGAAACAGAGAGACAGACACCAGGAATAAGATACAGTCCCCAAAGGCATGTCCCCAGTGACTTACTTCCTCTAGCCATGCCCCATCTGTCTGAAGTTTCCACTGTCTCCCAGTAGTCCATTCAAATTATTAATCCATCAAATAGATGAATCCACTGATGAGGATAGAGTGGATTTGTTCATTTCTGAAAAGCTCCACTTCTGGACATTGCTACTTTGGGGACCAAGTCTTCAACACATGAGAACATTTCAGATCCAAACCATAATATGAGAGTAGTTTAAGAGAATCATTCATCAAGATCATAGATGACAACCTAACCAAGTCTGCAGAAAGGGAAATTCTGCAAGAAGAGGAGAGTCCATCTGAATTTCAAGCTGTTTGCTAAGAAGGAAAGATTTATTGGCCTACCCAGTGCACCAGGATAGAGAATGGTGGGAAAGCCTTTAGGAGAACTTAGCACAGTCTCCTCAGTCTCTTGTATGTTCAAGAAACATATCTTTCTCCATCAGCTTCTAAAGTTAAGAGCAGAAAAAGGACAAGAAAAGGCTAAAGCAGAACATTTCTTTCTGCCATTAGTTGACAGGATGTGGTACTTCCTAAGGGCCAAATGGATGCTGAAGATGATAACTGGGCTCAAGCTGTCTTGTTGAAACCCCACCCAAGAAAACAACCTCAGGGAAA